TGTTTAATAAGTTTCAAAGAAATCTGTCTAATTTCTAATTTAAATTATAAAAAAAAATGGTAAATACCTTCAAAAATTAATTTAATTTGTCATATATATTTTCATGATTTACTAATTAATCAATAAATTACGGTAATTTATCGATAACAACAGGATGAAAAAAATTTGAAGTCATGTAAAGATGCATAGCTATCGTTTGATTGGCTGTAAAATACAATGTGTCATAAAGATATTACTGTAGGATGAGCTTGTATTGATATTTTCCAAAACATTAAACCAATCAAAAATCTCATTTTTTTTTCTTAGATATTGTAAGTAATTTCTAAAAGCTTTAGTTTGTTCACAAAGCATCTAATTTTTAAAATTCATATTGCATATTATATTGAAAAGTTAGGAAAAAAATTATGAAAATTTATTTTTTTCACTTTGCTTCAAAGTTATTTTTGAAAAGAACGTTATCAACTGTTATTGGCATACGTGCGTTCGTTTGTTCATGCAAAACATTGCATGGCAAACATAAATTTTCAAATTTCATGCAATTTTCATTACACCGTCTTATACACCTACAGACCCTGTGATTAGTTAATGCAAAAAATTCAACCCTAAAATTATTAATACTCAGCAAAATTAATTTACAAATTTAAGCATACTAGACATGCAAATTTCCATCCAGAAAAACCAAAAAGAGTATGAAAAATTATTAAACGGTTACAACGACTTTTACAAATGCCATTGAAACACTTTAATTTACTTTTTCTGATACTTCAAAATTGGGAGGAAGAAAAAGTAATAACTGTTATGATAAATTACTGCGATATCACAATATTATAAATTTTTGAAATATTAAAAAAACTAAAATGAAAATAGATAATCAGGTTCGGTCTCCTTCCTTTGTTAAATTTTTACTAATAAAATAACTCTGAAAAAAAAATTTACAAGTAAATTGGATTCAAAAATTAAAAGATAAATTTACGACCATAAAACAGACAAAGAAAAACAACGACATGAATTATTACTTATAAAGCAGAAAACACGCAGAAATTTTTCGTTCATATATGCAAAAGACTTGAAAGGAAAATATGTCTGTGTTTGGTTAATAGAAAGAAACAGGTCGTTGTTTCGGGGAAACACTTTGTAATACAAAAAATTGTAAATTTTTTTTTTTTTTGATTGAAAAAATAAATAAAATAGTAAAGAGTAGAGAACTGGTAAATAGTATAGAATATGACAGAATTTATGCATAGTTTAACATATTGAAGTTTTGACGATTGATGTTCGTTGCATGCTCAACGACCCCGACCCATTTTTCTACAACCGAACGAACTTGTTTTGTTTTTATTGATGTTTTGTTATCTCTAATTTCAAATTTAAGTACCTAAATTATATACGAATAGAAGAAATTCTTGATAAACATTTTAATTTTTCATTTTTTTTCATCCTTGGCTTGATATTACTGATATGGTACTTATAGTAACTGTTTGTGACATTTTACCATATAAGAATTAGATGAAAAGCACTCACTTACTTGGCAACCTAAATTCATGCATGATGAGAATCAGAACGTGGAAACGAAACGAACAAAAAAGGATCATATCGAGTCAAATAGTAGAAACTTGAGCTTCAGATTGTGCATAGATATTTGGAACTTTAGTATTACACATTTGATTATTTCGAACCTCAATATTCAATGTTTAGATTATTTATTTATTAATGTGATCCAACTTATACTTTAATTTATGGAAAGTATTTTGTTTAAAAAAAGAACTGGTATTAAAAATGATCAGAGATGGAGTTATTTAAAATGATAATAAGAACCATCCCTGTTACAACAGTAGATGCTAAAAACAATTTACTATTACACAAGATAATAATATTACTTTAATGTCAGTGTTAGAGATAAACTCATAATAGCATTGTAAATAAAAATAATAACTATTCGATCAATGATAAAAGTAATAATTATATTGGTAATAGTGCAAAAAAATGATCTGTGAGAATATTTTCTAGGTTTGTTTGTATTGAAAATATAGATGTTAGTTATTTTAGAAGGTTTTACTAAAATTAGATGATGCAAAAGTAATTAAATGACATTCATGCATTTGCTGTAGCTGAGATTATAAATGAAGAGACTTTTTTACTTCTATGAAGTTTGAGATAATGAGGCTGACTAGACGTCAATTGGAATAGCCAATGACCAGAGGCTACGAAGTTGGAATTGCTTTCGAAATGAAAGCAAGTTAGTTTTGTAAAAGTTAAGAGGTAATAAGTCAGATGCTTTTTTTTGCTTCCAAAGAGTTAAGGAAATAATTTAAATAATAAATATTGAAATAGATTCTTATACTAGTTGGAAACAACTTCACCATCTCAATGTTATTTGCAAAAAAGAAACAAAAATTGCTATTTTAAAATTTCAAATAAAAGATATCAGTCTTATTGCTACATCAACTAGGGAAAATTATCAGCTAAATCTTGAAAATCGCTCAAGATCATACCTTGCAGAAAAATAAGCTTAAAAAATGAAAATCATTATCAATAGATATTTATCAATCATCAAATTATTACCGTCAAATTTACCATTACGACTATTTTCAGCACTGACACTAGATATTAATTTTTTTAATATTAAATTGTTTTCAGCATTTCTATTGTAACAAGAATGGCTCTTATTTCCAGTTTAAGTAACCTATCTCTAATCATTAGAAATATCAGTTCTTTTTAAGAAAGTAAAATACTTTTTCAAAAAATTAAGATATAAACTGAATCATATCAGTAGATAAAGAAATTGTCTTCAGATTCTAAGTTTTGCTAAATAAAAGAAAAAAATTAAAGTGGTAATTTGCTAAGAAAGTAACGTTATCTTCAAACCGGAAATCAATTTAAATTAAAAGTAAGCAAGTAAATATTTTTAACTTCAATGGAATAATAAAAGTAATCCCAGAATATAAAAGTCATTCTGACAACATTGTGATCAATGTATGATAATCATGATAAATTTAAAATAAATTTATCCCACATGTTGTACCGTACGTACCGTACCATTTTGTTGTTATCACCGTTGTCGGCATTTTGTCAATACGATAATTTTATCACAAAATTAAAGTTATTGAAAACATTGAATAATTTTGATATATATCAAATTTCTACTTTAGCTGTTTTTTAATCCCTCTAAAATGCAAACATTTGTGATGCATTTGAAAAAATTTTGAATAATAAATATGTTGAAATTGTTTTTTCTCGTTTTAACACCATAATACACCATAATTCCATAACATTACAATAATTTAATAAAAGAAAGTTTAACCTCCATTTCTGTTTAAATCCAATTAATCCATTTGACTAAAAAAGCATTGAAATATATCTGCAATGAATGATATTTCACTGATACTAGAACTAAAGTGTGGATAAAATTTAATTAGCACTATTTCAAGGCAAAATTACTATTTGAAATTAGTTCAAAGAAAGAATCAAATTTTTTACAAAGTCTATCTTTCAATTATATAAATCTGTGTGACTTATTTGACAAACAAATATTAAAAACGATTTATTTTTAATTTTGGAAAATTTTTGCATGAAGACTGTACTATATTCCAAATTTATTTCGCTACAATTTTAAGTAAAAACTGAGACTAAATCGAGACAATAGTGATTAAATTTGTATTCATAATGATTCTAATCACCAATAGAGTTTCACGTTTGCACCAAATGAAGCATACAATCATTGTCTATTTTCAATTTCACTCTTTTTCATGTCTGTGAAGAAGTTAGGAAGATCGAGAATTTGAATTAAATTCTCATTTTCAATTCCAAAAATGAATGTTTAAAATGTAAGATAAAATATATAAATCAAAGTTATACTGAAAAAAGATGAAAAATATAATAAGTATGACTATTATTATTGTTTTGATGAAAAATTTTTGAAAAAATTGACAAATAGTACTAATTTCGAGTATGAATTTGATTAAAAATATTAAATTTATAGATGAAGGAGTATAAATGCATAAATTTTTAATTAATTTCCTATGAGAAAATGCAGAAATTGATCACTTTTTTGTTTAAGTACCATCGCAATGAGAATGCATAAATTTGCAAAAGAAACATTGCATTTTTTTTCTCGCAAAAAATTGTGCTATAAAAAGACCAAAGATTTGCACTGAGAGGTTGTTATTTTTGTTCACATAAAAAAATCGATAACGAGTATTCAAAATTTGTGCAAGAGTAAAGCGCATCGATGGCATGGAAAAGCTTTCAAATAAGAAAAAAAAGGAGCTAATTAGCTTGCTTAGAACACAAATGTCAACCAAAGATCAGACAAAATTATTAGCCAAAATAAAACGAGCACAAATATAAGTAAATACTTGGAGGTAAGTTTGTGTTTTTCATTAAATTTTATGCAAAGTTCAACTATATAAAATTAATTGTCAGATTAGATAATCCTTTGCAGCTAATAACTTACAAACTGATAAAGCATATTAGTTAAGGTATAGCCTTTGTCAGTTAGTAAGCTTGACATTTATGATGTCACACTTGTTATCAAGTGAATAAGCATTAAACATATTTGTTTGGTAGCAGAGTTCTTCAAAATGACTCAATTAACGCATCATTGATTTATATAGCTTTTGAATTTTAACTGGAGTGCTGAGGTAAACAAAATGATGAATTTTGAACGGCAAAAATTTTTGCATATGTGATGAAAAATGCAAAATGTTAACAGTCAAACATGCGTAAAAATGTAAAGCATTGGAGGTATGACTACAAGTGTTTATTTAAATTGAACTTAAATCGATGTATGACTGAATGCAAAGTAATTTCGTATGATTTACACAAGTATTTGAGAAGCAGCTATCATAATAGCATGAATAATAATGATAATGATAACAATGTGTTGTATAATTAAGAAAGTATACACAAACTGTAGTAAAGGACTGGAGTCAAATTAGAGTAAAGTTAAAGTAACAGAAGAAACAGTTTTGTTGAAGTTGCAATAATAAAACTGTCTATAAATGAACTGCGACTTACCAGAGCACCTAGACAGACACCCTGGTGGTGAGGGAGCTGTCAAGTGGGATGGGTTGCAAGGTTGTTACATTTGCATACTCATTTAACAAATCTTTTTCATATTGCAAGATGGAACGCTTTTTAAGAAAGCCAACCGCTCAGGCAAACATAAAAGACCAAAGACAGGGGTCAAAGGTCATTTTTAGAGTAGAAACTTTTCCATTGTGATCTACTTGCTGCCTCAAATTTTATATCACACTATCATTCACTCAAATATAGTTTAATCATCTTTATTATTATTACTGTTATTATTGTTGTTATTATTATTACTTGTATTATTTTTATTATTACTGCTGTTCCTAATGTGTAATATACTTTCTTAATGATACAAAGTATACTTTTCCATTATTGTTATGACTGTTGTTATTAATATTGTTGCTGTTACTAATTATTACCATAATTTAAGTGATGAAATATTTGCTTAAAAATTTTAAGCAATAAGTACGAGTCATTTCATCAGTCATATTAATGAATATGTGAATGAAGTATAAATGTGATAAGAATTTGATAATACTGACTTGTTCTAACTAACGTTTTAATAATAAATTGATAGGATAATACTACAGTGAGTGCATACGTAAGTAAATGAGTAATAACGTAATAGTAACACGTAATGAAACTTTTTATTACAATGCAATGAATGAATGAATGTTGTTGATTTTTGCTCTAAAAGTGAGATGGAACATTTGTGGCTAGTCGATGATTTGTAGTGAAATTTTTGCCAAATATGTTCGTTTGCAGTGATGGGAGCAATGAGAGCAGCGTTCCGTGACATGCAGTACCTGTCGTGTGTGCTCAATACGTCTTCCTCATTAACTACTACTACTACTACTACTCTTACTGTTCTGTTATATTCTGTTCCATTGCTAACTTGTCGGAATATGAGCTACGTCATGCCTTGTCTGGCCATTACTTCTGAACGCGACATTCCTCAATGAAGTCCTCGGAATCCACACGTTTTTTGTGCTTTAGACTCGTGATATACAGTTGGAGTCGAAATTGCGTTAAGTCAGATTGACAGTTCACATTTAGTTAGATCATTCAAGCAGATCATATCAGTGCCACATTGTAACAGAGACAATACTAATAGAGCAGTCTAATCAGAACATGTTGGAAATTCACAGTAATTAAATCATGTTCATGGGTGTGCATATCAGTTTATGTCAGTTTTACAGAATTGGATCTGGTTGAATTACATGAGACTGAATCAGATTGAGTCAATTATTAAGCAATCATTCATTTTTTTCTAGCACTTCAGCTAAAAAAAACATTTACTTTAATTTTTATAAGAGTATTGTCAACTTAGATCACAAGTTATTTGACACTTACATTTGACATTTCAAAACCGCAATATTTATTTATTAGAAAAATTTGAAATATTCTAATAAAAATTTTATTTTTCAGAATGATTTTTTATAAATAAGCTTATTGATTAGAAATATAAATTTGTGGAATAATTTATGTGAAGCTAGAATGTGGCAAATGGTTTCAGTCAGTCATGTCATTTTACTTACGGCTATGAAATTAATATGCCGCAGATTATTATAAAAAATTTGATTTCCAAATCTATTTTATTAACACACATAAATTTACTCAATGCTTATTGTTAAAGATTAGTTTGAGGAATAATAAAGCAAAATTGGAATGATTTAATCATTACGCGTTCTAAACAATACAACTCATTTAAAGATAAAAATAGAATTATTAGCAAATAATTTTTTCAAATAAAAACATTCTTGCATTTTTGAAAAAATCCTTTAGCATTTGTTACTATTTGAATTTTCGTTTATGCAGAAAATGCAAAATCATATTTAATTTGGTATTGTGTGGGAAAAGCAAAATATTTTACGATATCTAAATTATAATTTTTGCATTAAGCGTAGCTGAGTAAGTAGGAAATTGCATGAAAAATTAATAAATCACTTCAAAACCACCAATCCAGCAGACTGCAGTTTATTATAATAACAAAACTTTACGAATTATAGTTGTTAATACTCAATTTTTTATCTTTTATAAGAATAAAAATTCAATCATTAATGGAGTTTTTTGTATCTCTATTAGTTTTGATGAATACTGACATAAAGATTTTTCAATTAAATCAAAAGTAATTTCATTATTATATAGTCACTTTTTTTTGATCAATTTCTATTCATTCAGCATAAGTTCACTTGGATTTACAGTCTAAAGATTTATAGCAAACGAATTAGAAACTATAAGACTGCACCATCCTAAGCGTTAACCTTTCACCTTCAGTATTCCAGACGTTATTCTTGCACTTTCTTTTCTAACTTTCATTCCTCATCAAATATTTGAATAATGATTTTTCTCAAAA